ATTTTCCAGAACAATCAACTTCTATTGCAGAACCAAATTAGAGAACTAAAATGAATGGGAGCTTGAATTCTGACCAAATTATTTTAATCGTATCATAATCAACTGCTATCAAAATCTTTATCACGCTTGTGTGCATTTCCGCTTGAAATCGTCAGAAAATACACATTCTACGAATTTTATTACATCGTTGAATGTGGCAAATAGCCATTAATTATGATGTGCAACCAACTGCAGTGTGCAATTATGTAGCATTCAAGAACTTAATGAATTCAAGTACAGTAGAAAACTGCATATGAACGCGTCTGCTTATTTAAAGGGCCTTTTGTGATATACCATATCGTAGTCCTCTGGAAATACCAGCAAAACGAATGCTTTGTCGCTCGCCCAAACCACAAGGTTATTGATTTTCTCTAAGCTGACCGAACGTAGAAGACTTCCGCTCCGTTTGCGCAAGTGGACTGCGGGTGTTTTGTCCAGGACGATCACCACACTTCGGCAATAGTTCTCGTGAAGCCATTCAACACCTAAGAATGCCGAAAAGAGTCTAGATATTTTTTTCGTTAAAAATTAATATAACTGAAAAATTAAAAGTTGAACTCCACTGTTGCAGATCCCAAGCCCGGATCAGAAAGGAGGAGGGTTGAGGAACCTGAAAGTCTGCGTAAAATTTAACCACCTGCAACTCATCGTATTGATGCCATCGAAAATTATACCGGCTGGGTCGTCCCCGGGTTAGCAAGGGCCGCGCAGGCTGCTGAAGGACTGAGGCAGACTGCGAAAAGTCGGCGACCAGAACCTGCTTATTGCCCTCTGCCAGCCGGGGCGTAGCAGCACAACGACGGCTGACGAACATCGACGGAACGACGACGATACCAGTCAGCAACGGAGTCGCTACCCGTTCTCAATGGACGACGCAGATAGCTCGATGCCATCATACCACGACAGAAAAGGCTCCACGAGAACTACACCACGAGTGGGAACTAAAAGTCCGAAACTGGAATATATCCTCACTCAGGCGAAAAGAACAAGAATTATCTGATGAGGCCATAAAGCACCAACTCGATACTGTTGGACTCTCGTCAACGAAGCTCCAAGGCCATGGAATTCTGAATCTCACCAAGTGCAAGCTATTCTACTCAGGCGTCGACATCACAACTCGGGCTCAAGCCGGTCTTGGTGTTCTGGTAGAACCCAAACTCTCGGATAGAATCACTCATTAGAAGCACGTAAGCGCGAGGATAGCAATCCTCCGACTGAAGCCATAACAGCCTAAACCGATGACCTTGGCACAGGTCTATGCGCCCAATTTTGAGGGAGAATATCAGACCTTCCTTGAGGAAGTACAGTGTGCTCTGTACGAAATGTCGAATACAGAGTCCCTCATACTGATGGGCGATTTTAATACGCACGTCGGAGTAGACGCTGAAAAGTGGAACGGCATGATTGGGTAAAACGACCTCAGCGACCTCAACAATAACGGCATCAAGTTGTTGCGGTTTT